TCTTTAATGTGTTTGATTGAGAGGAGCATGGCGACCTCCCCTTTGACGAAGTCCCGCCTGTCGGCGGACAAGTAGCGCCGCTTCTGCTTGACGGGCGTGGAGGCCGGATCGACGGTCAGCCGGTGAGTAATCACCTGGCGGCTGATGCCTGGCATGTCGTCCGGGCCCCACGCGAAGACAACGGCGTATGACCGCAGGACGAGGAGGATGGCGTCTCGTTGGTCCTGAGGGAACTGCTTCCCGATTCTGAGGACCTGCTCCGGCCGGGAGGTATTCAGAGGGACTTCCTCGACCTCCTCGGCCGGTTCGGCATGCGGCCTCTCCTCGTCCTTGACAACGGCTGTCGTGATGGTGTCTATCCTCTGTCCTTCCCTTTCGGCCGGCCTTGTTAGCTTGAGGTAGCATGCTCTGGCTATCCTCTGGTTTCCTCTGGCGTAGCCGATGCCGTCATTGGTGGGGAACTTTAGGCACAAGTGCTTCATGGAGATGATGGCCTCCAAGTCCTCCAGCGCTGGCCGTCCCAAGATCAGGTTGTGGGCGCACTGGAGGTTGACCACCATGAACTCCATGTCAATCCTGGCGCGGTGGGGGCCGTCACCGACCTCCACGGGGAGGACTATCGTGCCCTCGGCGTCGATAGAGTCCCCGGTGAAGCCGGATAACGGTGTCTTGATCGGCTTTAGCAGAGCTCTGTCCAGCTTCAGCTGCCGGAAGGTATCCAGGTACATCACGTTGACGGAGCTTCCCGTATCGATGTAAGTGCGGTGGATGATGGAGTCACCGATCTCACACCGGATGACGAGGGCGTCCCTGTGTGATTCCGTCCCCGGAGGCAAATCCTTGTCGGTGAAGGTTATCGCCTCCGTTCGCTGCTTCTTCGGCTGGGGGGGAACGTGGGACACCTCCCCAATGTAGAGGGATTGGGCCCATTTCTTTCTCTGAGTGGCGGAGTCCCCCCCAGTGTTCCCACCTACGATGAGGTGAATGTGATTCTTCTTTGGCGGGGGCTCTTCGAAGTCCTCGTCGTCGCTGAGCCTACCAATCTCCCGCTTCTTCGCAGAGGGTTCGCCCCCATGTTTGCCGGTGTTTACCCATGTGTTTTTGCGTGGGCCACCTTTAACAAACTGGGAGAGTTCCCCCTGGCGAATAAGACGCTCAATGGCCTTCTTCAGCGTGATGCAATCGTTGGTGTTGTGCGACGAGTTCTTGTGGAACCGGCAGTATGTGCCGCCCTGCTGGATGGCAAGGACCTCCTCGGCCGGCCGAGGAGCCTGCTCGATGAGGCCATGCTTCTCGGCATAGTCGAGGATGATGCCGACCGGGTGAGTGAGGGCAACCCCCGGCCGTTCCAACCTCGACCGCCAGTGGCGATCTTTCTTACTCTGTCCACCAGAGCCGTGACGGCCCTGGGCACCCTGGCCGGCCGGGGACAGACCCGGGGCCGGCGAAGTATTTGTCTTCTTGGAGGGATGGCCCCCTCTTTCTTGTGATTGTGGAGCTCGTCGGCGTCGGCGTACAAGCCTCCGCGCTGGAGCGCCTCTGCGTACGACCTCGGAGGGTCGGTGATGAGGCTCCTAGCGTACGGGGAGCTGCGGAGGGCTCCCTGATACAAGGCGAGGAGGGTGCGCTCATTGGCCCCCTCGACTTCTTCGGTCTCCCTCGTCCACCGATCAATGAATGACCGGAGGGACTCATCGTGCTGCTGCTTGACGGAGAGGAGGTGGGTGAAATACTTCTTCGCCCGCTTCCTCCCGGCGAAGTGGGTGAGGAAGCGTTGGGCAAGATCGTGCCATGAGTCGATGCTCCCTTCGGGGAGCGCGTTGAACCACTCGTACGCTGGCCCCTCGAGAGTAGAGAGGAACCAACGGCAGAGGTATTCGTCTGACGTGTTCACCATCAGCATGTTGTTCTGATAACGGCTGAAGTGCTCCTGGGGGTCTGATCGGCCATCGTAGGACTTGATGGCGTTTCCCCTGTACTTCTCCGGGATGGGGGCCGAGAGGACCCTGTTGGTGAAAGGGGTCCTGGTCCTGACCTGGATGATGGGGTCACCTCGCCCCTTGGCCAGCTCCCTCTCTAGGGCGCTAACCTTGTTCATGAGCGCGTTGAGGCCGGGGTCGTTGGAGGCGCCAGCCGTAGGGATGTTGGCCGACTGCTTGGCCTCCATCTGAGCCAGTCTCCTTTCCAGCTGGGCAATGACCTCATCCCGGGGGTCCCTGGCGGCCGCAGCGGCGCCCGACTGGTTCCTCATGCGCTCGTCGTGAGCTGCATTGATCTGGTGGCGCACGTCGTCCTCGTGCAACTTCCCCTTGCCCTTGTCCGGGCGGGGCTGGTCCGCTGTCCGGGACACAGACCCCAAGCTTTCCCTCGGCGAGCCAGGCCGAGGCTCACCAATCCGTCCTGCCATCCTCTCCGAAACCGGACGACGGCGCGTGTCACCTAGCCTGTTGAAGGCAGAGGCTTTTCCACGTGCTGGGGTCTGCCCAGGCCGAAGAGGGGAAGCAGGGTGGGAGTGGGACGACGCCGTGTCCTGGGACATCACCCCCTCATCGTTGCCTATCTGGACGGCCAACGGTTGGGGCTGAGGAGGTGGAGTGACGTTCCCCCCGGTCCTTGGCAAGAGTGCGCTGAGGACGGTGGGGTTCTGAGCCAGGCTGGCGATGATGACCGACAGCGCGGCCTGGACCTGTGGATCCACGGACGGAGAGGCCGCGGCCATAGGCTGGGCCGGGGCGTGGTCCGTCTTCTCAGCTCGTTTCTTGTCCAAGCCGATGCGTGCATCAGGGGCTCCGCCGTTGAGTTGGTTGCGGAGGTCCGTCGTGAGGTTGAAGGCCTCCTGGAAGACGCCCCCCCCCCCCCCCCCCCCCCGCCGACCTGGTCGGCCGTGGCGTCCTCATCGTGCTCCCTTGCCTCTTGGTCCTCAGGGATGGCCTTGCTGACGAGGTTGCGGTTTGATTTAGTTCTTCCCATGATCAGTGGTTAGCTGTGCTTGGTAGCGACGAAGGGTGCTAACTTGATTGGTCTAGCTCTCAATGAAAGCACCAAATGATAGAGTATATATCTAGAGAGAAGTGAGAGCTAGAGAGAGAAGTGCAATATATGCTTCAATAGAATGATTTTGTAACCCCTATAACTACTCCCAAGGGGAGTATTTATAGAGAAAATACGGGCTGGGCTCCCAAGCCTTGGGCTTGGGAGGCCCATTTACAACTGGACCGCTACTGGGCCGAATACAAAGCCACTAATGGGCTGCACAAATGAGCAAGTGTAAAATCCGGTTCTGTGAGGTCTTCGTGGCCGACGAGGGCGTGGCCGACGAGGGCACGGCCGACGAGGGCGCGGCCGACGAGGGCACCTGGGTCCCTTGGACTCAGGACCATATTCTGAGTTGGCACCCTCTTGGCCGACGGGGGTCCCATGACCGACGAGGGCACCACTCAGTGTCTCGTGCTTTCTGTTCTTCTGAGTATGTGGGTCCTGGGGCTCAGACCCATATACTCCATCAATTACAATTACATTAATTACAATTATAATTGTATTAGTGACAATTACATATCTCTAGTTATAGTTACATGTCGTCCGATCATAGTTACATGCTCGTCTGGTTACATTTACATACCCGTCTGGTGATTAACGTCCGCTAGTTGAGTGAAATGTTCGCTCGTCCAGTGACAACTGTTCGCCGCCCGTCCAACCGTCGTCCCATCCCGTCCGGTGACCGCCGCCACAGTCTAGTCCCTTCCCGTAACCGCTGCTCATCATTTGGGAGACCCTGCCCATCATATAGGTATGTTACATCTATAATATAATATTACGTTAGGTCTAAAAATGTTGTAGTGCCAACTCCAACCAACAATTACCGCCCTTCAAGTGACCGCCGCCACAGCCTTTCCAGCAACCGCCGCTTGCATATACTCCCTCTGTCTCGAAAAGGTTGACCAAATTTCCTTTTTTGGATGTCCCAAAAAGATTTGTCATTTCCATTTAGAGTAAAGAATATGTAGATAAAATTAATTTTCTCTCCTCTGCACAAATTTCAACCACACAGTTCTTACTCTATTAATCCACGTGAAAGTCAATTTTAGCCATCCTTTTCGGAACGGAGGAAGTACTATTTAATAAACCAGTAGGTTCATGACTTCTCACTAACATCAAAGTTGTTGAAATTTTTCAATACTTTCGTCACATTGTGATAGAAATAGGATGAGCTAGTTGATTGGATTTTAGAAGCTCTTATTCAGTTATTCCCAAAAACAAAAACTAAAGAATAAAGAGAAGTTCAAAATGGGTTTAGGGATTTTTCCATACATCACTATAATGAAGCTAGTTTAAGTGAGTGTAGTGCGTCAAAACCACCCTTATCGATATACTCCGTATAAATTATGTGTATGAGGTTATTACGATCCAAAAACACAGTGCAAAAGTCTTTGCGGAGGATGTCACAACTTCAAATCACAATCCCACTTTAAAATTGTTTGGCTAGAAAGAAGAATTTTTTCTTTAAACACAGTTAGAATTTTTTGTAGAAAAGAAGTTTTCGTAAAAGATCAGTCACACAAATCTTTAAAGAAACAGTCATGAGCTATTTGCTCATTTTTAGGACAGACTCTCAATTTAGGGAGTGTTTGGATCTACTTTTTAAAATTCCTTCTGCTCTATCGGAAAACAAAAACAGAAATTAGAGTGTGAGCGCTTAAAATTGTTCCTAGAAACAACTTTTTGGAAGTTGGGAGAGACCAACTTCTAAAAAAAATGATTTTATTTTTAGAAGGATAATCAATTCCAAACCGCCTATATTAATTAAATTGTGTGGCGAGGTGCAGCCGTGCACTGCAGCAATAGTATGTGGATATGAGGATGTCATCACGGTGACACGCTGGAGGCAGGCGAAAGTCTCACGCCTCACACGTGGCAAGCACTGGGAGGCCTGTCCGGATCGCCCCGATTCTCACCTCTTATCAAAATTATAAAAACAAAATAGTAAAATAAAGTATTTCAAGATACTCTCTCTCTCCGATATCCTCGGCTGAGCTTATCTTCTCCTTCAACGTCTGCTTCAGAAGATAAAATACCGCCGCACCATGCCGGCAGCCGCCATTTCTTCTGCTCTCCGGTTTCCTCTTTCTCGATCAAGCTCCTCTAAGTCCCATTCCAGAAAGGTAATATTGTTACTGCTTCATTTTCCTGTCATTTTTCGTAATCGGAAGCGGTCAAGTTTCTTACCGTATAGCGAAGTCTATCATGGACAACAAATACTTTTATAGACATCATAACTGATCATTTGTGGCTTCACTTTGCCTTTGTGTGCTGAACTTGTAAGGTACGCGAGGTTGTTACGACTTCATTAAACTCTTATTCTCTATTGGGATTAGGGAAAATATGCAATTATGCAAATATGTCCTTAAAATTTGCTTTTATCAGTTTATGTGGGCTGAAGGCTATTATACTAGACTGCAATACCTGTGTGGTCTCAAATTCTTAATGGGAGACATAAAAAAGTTAATGATAAAATAGGTTCCACTAGACTTCAGCCAACCGTAAATGCTGCTCTGCTTGCATCTATCTCAGATTGGTCTTTTATTATTCACTTGGTCCAAAAGGTCGAATGCCTAACCCCAAGGCCCCCACCACGATGGTGGGGAGGTTAATCACGGTGACTCAGTCAGCAAAGCGGCGGTAGGCCTTATACACGTGCGCACCAAAGGTCCAGCCTTATTTCAGGTTCTGTAACCTCCACACGGTCGCTTCGTGTTTCGAACCTTGGTCACTTGGTCCAATTTTCCCAGCACTCGACCTGCTGAGCTACCCGTGCGGGTGTCTTTTATTATTCACTAATGCACCTTCAGATGCAAGAAAGTTGGCCCTTAGTGTTAGTCAAGTTCATATTTCCCATGCTTAGCAAAACAAAGTTGTAGAATGGACCAAAACCAAAGTTGTAAAAGATGACAAAAAATGAAGAAATCACATCGTTTAAAAAAAATTCCAACATGTATATTGCAAATTGATTAGCCCGTTTGGTAACACTAAAATTGGCTGAATCGGCTAAATTGATGAATGAGATGAAATTTTGGCTGAAGTGGTTGAATATGTTGAGTTGTGAAAAATATATTTGAAGTATATTTTATTGGTAAAATTAAGAAAATATTATACTCCCTCCGTCCCTTATAACTTTGTCAACTTTCCTTTTTTGGACGTCCCACTAACTTTGTCACTTTCCTATTTAAGTAAAGAAATTGTGGTTCCAGTTCATTCTCTCTCCTCTGCACAAACCTCAACCACACAGTTTTTACTTTATTATTCCTCGTGCCGGTCAAACTTGGCAAAGTTATTAGGGACAGAGGGAGTAAGAAATATAGCTAAAATGGTTCTCTACATATACTTCAGCCAAAAAAGTAACTTCAACCTTACTTATTTTGATTATTATTACATAATTCAGCGCGCGAAATCAAAAGTTACGTGTTTGGTAAAAAGTTGGCTGATGATAAGATTGATAAGCTCAAAACAGGAGTTATCAACTGGGCTCAATGTTTCTTTTAGAAAAAGATTTTTATATACTCCCTCCGTCCCAAAAAATTCTTCCCACATACCATTTTGGAATGTCCCAAGAAATTCTCCACACTTACCATGTTACCATTTTTGAAAAGTTTTGTGTGCCTAACATTCATTTACCCCTTTCTTACTCAATCACAACCATACATTTCTGCTTTATTCTACTTTCTTAATAAGCATGCGGCGTGCCGAGTCAAAGTTGAAAGTGTTTTTTGGGACGGAGGGAGTATAAATATTTGTTTGATAGGAAAGATTACAAACACATGATTCATTATGTTTAAAGTTGTCTGATAATGAGAAAATATCACAATTTAATTTTTTTTAGAAAACAGACAAAGATCTAGGCCACATGGTTATATTTTTAGGAAAGTTACGAAAAAGGTGCTTGTGGTTGACCCCATTTTCATATAGACTCATGTGTTTTATTTTATTAAAAAGTCGGTCATGTGTTTAAACTCTATTATCACAAATTCACAGGACACTCCTGACGCCTAACACCGTTAAAAGTGTCGGAGGAAGACGACAAATAGTAACTTCGATTTTCAAAAGTGGCCAAATAAATAAAAGAAAAATATCAGAAAGTGCTCTTCGTCAAGATGACCTCCAAACAATCTTCGTAAAATTGAATTCGCTAATATCACTTTTCCGGTGGAATTTCCGGTGACAAGAGTGGCTAGAAACAAAAAAGAAAGATGTCTTAAAGGTCTCTTGATGAGGCGCACCTCTCAGTATTTTTCTTTTAATTTTCCGGGCACTTTTGAAAATCGAAGTTACCATTCATCGTTTTCCTCCCGCGATTTCTAACGGCGTCAGGACCCTCTTGTGATAACGGAATTTAAACACATGATCCACTTTGTTTAAAATGAATAAGCTATATGGATAAGCTTTTATACATTCTTTTTTACGAAATTTATGCAACATTCCTGTAAATTTAGAGCATAGCAGTGGAATAAAAATAAATTACGTACCACATATTACTACCTTTTTTCCATTACTAAAATTCTACAACTAGACTTAGACTAAATCAAGGGGAAAACGATGTGTACTTGTGTAGCATGCAAAAATGGGTCTTAAGCTCAACAAAATACACAACTACTGATTGCATATTGGCACGAGCGATGTGAGCATTTATGCCACCCCACCTCGTTTAATGTTATGCTTTTGGTAATATTTCAAACCAGTATTACCAAAGCTGCTTATGAAGATAATAAATAGAAGCATTCAAGCATTGGAGAATTATAAAACAAGTTTGTTTTGAGACTCTAAAAAGTTAATTAATCTCTCCAAATTTTACCATTTTTATTTAATATCCTCCCCTGTCGGACTTTGCCAGTTTAAGATCAATAGAAGTGATGTTCATTGTATGTAGAGGATTGTTATCAATGATCTGCACAACTATTATTTCATGGATATTTAGTATTGCTATAATTATTGTTTTTTCTACCAGAAATTATGGTTAGAATACTCCTCATTTTGCGTCTTTTCTGTGCCACGAGTAATTAACAGGATTGATGGGTTTTGTAATAATGACTTTACCTATACAGCTATACTCAGGTGTGAGATTATTCATCAGTTGTCCTGTTTTATTACGGTGATATTACACGCTTAGAAATTCGTTTCTAGTGATATCAAATGTAAGTCTAGTTTATTGCAGTGACTGGGTAAGGCTCACAAAAGTTCAAGGAGTTCTCAATTAAGAAAAAGTTTGTGGTTGTGTAACTGTGTTTTAGAAATGAGAAGGGAATAAAGAATGAGAGGAAAGTCTCAGAGATGTAAAGTCTTTATTATTTGATGTTTTCTTATCTCCAAGCAAAGGTCTATTGTGAGGTGTGATTTGTGTTTTCTATCTATGAAGAGTGGTCATTGGATGATATGCTTGTTATTTGTATAATGACAGTGTGCCGGGGGAGGGTTCGGCGTGTTCTCTATGCATGGGGAGGACGGAGGGTCAGCAGACAAGAAAAGTCCATGGCTGACACTTTTTAACGTAGAAGATCCAAGATCAAAAATTCCCCAATGTAAGGGAAAGTTCCTTGATGTAAATATTGCTTTGGAAGTGGCTCGATATGACATACAGTATTGTGATTGGAAAGCTCGTCAAGATGTCCTTTCCATTATGCTTCTGCATGAGAAGGTAGTTGAATTATTTACGTATATTGTTTTTTCTATTATATGTAACTTCTGTTTTTTCAGTATGAGATGTTATAGAAACATTAATTTATATGTAGTATATTTGTTAAGGTTGTTGAAGTATTAAACCCTCTTGCCCGTGATTATAAATCTATTGGAACCATGAAGAAGGAACTCGCAGATTTGCAAGAAGCACTTGCAGAAGCACACAAACAGGTAGTCTAACCGAATTTAACTAAGCCTTTTGCAATGCAGTGTTCCTTCCCTGTGCTGATTCATATGGTTGTTTGCTCTGCTTCACTTAAAAGTGCTATGATACATTAATACCGATTAATGACATGTTGATTGAATACTTTAACTCTTAATAAATTCTTAAAACTCAAATGTAGTAAAAATTTAAAATGATGGGCAGGTCTTAGTGACCTGACCACCGAAATGATAATAGGCTGGAATGTTTGTCTTATGCACGGGCAGGGGCTAGAGCTTGGGTTGACTAACCATTTCTTAAGAGGATGAATGATCTGGTTCTTCTATGCTTGCGGAGGGATAGAAGCAACGGGAAGAAGGGTAGGTAACATAGGTGCAGAGAAGGTGTGAAATTTAGGAGCTCGTGTTATTAAATTATGGTTCTTCTTAAAGAATCAATAGTCCAAAGTCTTCTATGTTGGTTTGTTATTTTATATTTAACTGATGTGAGACATATTCTTCAGACACACTCTTCTTGGTCAGAAATTTTGTCAGGGTGGTGCAATTGTTTTCTCAGTAGGGCATACGCCCCCCTTACAGCCTGACCTATTGAGACTGTAGAATTACACCCTCACAACCTCACGGTTGTTACCTGTCTACATCATTTAATGGCTCGATATCTCACTTGCATTGTTCAATTTTTGTTTTATAAGGGGTCCCTATAATGGTTACAATTATCTTATATGGTGGTTGATTATTACTCCCTCCGTCCCGTTGAAAGGTTCTCACTTTCCTTATTTGGGTGTCCCATTTAAAGGTTCTGATCCCATTTTAGGAAATAATTTACTCTTTAATTACACATTTACTCAAATTTCTCTTTCCTACTCATTACATGTCAAGTCTCACAATTTCCTCTCCTCCAACTTATCTCCTTTTAATTACTTTCACTTTACATGTTTACTTTTTCTAAATTTTCTCTTTCCTCTCTTTTTTGCCCAAATTACATTATTTAACCACTTGCCTAAAAAATCGTGCCATTTACCTACGGTAACCTTCTAAAGGGATGGAGGCAGTACATGTTTAGCCAATATATGACTATTTTTCAATATTGGGTTGTCTCATATTGAAAACGAGAGGCGTTACTCATAAGAAAGGAATAAAACCACTTCAAGGAGTAAGGTCCTTTCTCCTTGAGTTTTATTATACAATATACTTGTATACAGTTCAAATCCCCTTACCCAACAAGCCATGAGAGAACCTAATGTGAATGGTGAAGCCCATTAATGGCATTGAGGGGAATTTTTGGCTCCACTTCATCACTCTGTATCATCTCCATAAGATTCATCATCTTCAAGAAACTGAACATATACACTTTGGCATTTATGCGGGTGGTCCTTGATCCATTTTCCATCACGGTTATAACATATCAAGCTTTTGGCGTTCCATCATATCTGTTGATGACAGTCTTTTGATGCGGTGCACGACAAGAGTCACGAGACTGGCTGTGCTGTTTAAGGTGATGGCAGATCCTGGGGAAAATGGACAAATGTATTGAGTGGAGATGTGAACATCAGTCACTTTGTGTGCATAGTCTGTGGTGGCATTTGTGGTTTCATGAACGGGTCTGATCTTACCCTTTCAGTATCAATACAAAGCATTTCATTCATTCATTGAGGCAGCTTTGAAAAAGGGTACTTGTTGATGATAGAGGATATCATTATTACATGCAAGGAAGTTTTTGAACTCACAAACGACTATTACTTTTTGGTGGAACAAAGCCCAGAGGGTGCACACCTGCTAGACATGAAGCCAGGAGAATTGAACTCCATCCCAGAGATGTTTGATAAACGTAAACCACAACTATGCAATCACAATCATCTAATATGTGGGCGTTGTATTAGGTAGTTTGTTTGAATGTAACTACAATCAGGTTAGAATTGTACTCATACTATGAGGTAGCCTAACCCGATTGTATGCACCTTGAAATTTTCTGACACGTATTTAAAACTTGACACTAAGTTTACACTAATACCATTGCTAAAAATTCAATCGTCAAGGGTAAAGAACTGTCCTGCCTGCAGCTTCCTTTTTTGGTTTGGTTGGTTAACATAAATCTTTTTATGAAGCAAATTATATGCCTCTGTTACAGGTGTACACATCAGAGGCACGAGTTTCTGCCGCTTTAGGTAAGTTGGCTTACATGGAATCATTAGTAAATGATAGGCTGCTGCAAGATCAGAACACAGCAGAAGTGGATAGATCGTTCCCTTCTCTTAGTACGCCACAGTGTTTAGATACTGTTGAGAGGAAGTTGCCCCAAAGAAGTCTAAACGTGTCGGGTCCCATCCAAAAATACAGTGATCATCTGAAGAACTTTTGGTACCCTGTTGCTTTCTCCACTGATCTTAAGGATGATACCATGGTAAATCTATACTACTAGATACTCCAAATGGGAGGAAACACATCTATTTTCTGCTACTAAAAAAAGAATTACTCAGTGACAAATATACATTTCCAGCATTCTTAATTTAAAGTTTGAACAAAAACATAACCTTTTGGATTCTATCCTTCTCTCTATTCACTTATTCAGTTTACTCCCTTATGTGTACTTTAATTGTGATGTTTCAGATGCCAATTGAGTGCTTTGAGCAACCATGGGTGATCTTTCGTGGGAAAGATACAAAGCCTGGATGCATCCAGAACACCTGTGCTCATAGAGCCTGTCCCCTTCATCTAGGTTCAGTAAATGATGGCCGCATACAGTGTCCTTACCATGGTGAGAGAGGCACAGAGTGCAAAGTGGTTATTACACTGAAAAAAAATGAAACGAGTTTTAGATCTCTACAGTTTGTCATCTATTTAGATTACTGACTCTACCATGATATTTGTTGGATTAAGGATGGGAATACACTACAGATGGAAATTGTGAGAAAATGCCTTCAACGAAATTACTAAATGTAAAGCTGAAATCTTTGCCATGCTTTGAGCAAGAAGGCATGATTTGGATTTGGCCTGGAAATGATCCTCCAGAAGCTGCAATACCTTCTTTAAAGCCTCCTCCAGGATTTCAAATCCATGCGCAGGTTTGCAATCACTACTACCAGATTATGAGTAATTTGTTTCTGGACTCCATATTGAGTTATGGTTAATCCTTTGTGGCTTGAGAAGTACAGATTGTCATGGAACTCCCTGTGGAGCACGGTTTACTTTTAGACAACCTTTTGGATCTTGCACACGCTCCTTTCACCCATACTTCAACTTTTGCTAAAGGATGGAGTGTACCAAGGTTCTCTTTCATTGATAGGCTTATATAATAATTTTAGGAATGCTCTATAATAATTAGTTAGTGAATACATATTTGTAGAAATTCAAACCAGCCGGCTATATAGGGCAAGAATAATAGTTTCCTATTTTTGTGGATCTAGAGTATCTTGAGATCTTATTTGATATATATGTATAGCTATGTATAGCTGTATATTTCTTTCCTTAAAAGTAGGAGTAGTTCCTAGAAATCAGGATCAATTCAAAGGGATCCTTGTGTATAAATATACCCGAATTCATCATAATAAACATCATCATCATCATTACCCCAGTGCCTCAAAGGCTCCCACCTACGGTGGGGTAAGGGGAGGTCGGATGTACGCAGATTTACCCATAGTGAAAATCGCGTCGAAAAATACATGGACTGACTGCTGCTTCACAATAAAGAAGCATAGACAGTTTAGTGAGCCATTTTGCTTGACTCCATCATATTCTCAAGCCAAAAAATAGTGAATCTTTGGCTCTATTGCAAATGATGGAAAATAATTCATCATAATAAACAAGTGAGATAATTCCAATTCTGATCTCCTTCATGGTATCAGAGCCTCCGGGTATTTCAAATCCTAATTCTCATCTCCCTGACTGTCGGCCCTAATCTATTCCCATCTTCGAGCCCCTCCTCTTTCTCTCTCGGAAATCCAGTCAAACATGGTAGAATCCGAGCAGACCTTCAGGGACTCATCCTCACCGACCACTCCATCTCCTAGCAATCCTGTCACTCCTCAGATCTCTCTCGAAACCAGTGCCAATCCCATCATCAACCACAAACTAAATGGCCACAACTGTCTCCAATGGTCTCACTCTATGATGATGTTTATCAGTGGACGAGGCCGTGATGATTATCTTACCGGTATGGCTGTCCAACCAGATTCCAGTGACCCTAAGTTTAGAACCTGGAGAGCAGAAAACAATCTAGTTATGTCTTGGTTAATTAGCTCGATGACTACTGAGATAGGTGAGAATTTCCTCCTTTACACTTCAGCCAAAGAAATATGGGACGCGGCTCATGACACCTTCTCCAGCAGTGAGAATACCGCAGAACTCTTCCATGTGGAGAGTATCCTACATGATCAAAGGCAAGGGGAAAACACAGTCACCACCTATTTCACCACCCTTACACGATATTGGCAGCAGGTGGATCTCTTTGAATCACACGAATGGAAGTGCCGTGATGACAGAATCTACTTCAAACGAATAGTATAGACCAAACGCATCTTCAAGTTTCTATTGGGACTTGATAAGTCTCTTGATGAAGTGCGAGGTCGAATACTCGGAACCAATCCATTGCCAAGTCTCCGCGAGGCCTTTTTCCAGGTTCGTCGAGAGGAAAGCCGCAGAAGAGTCATGATGGGGCAGTCAGATGGCCCGACCACAGATGATGGATCTGCCCTTGCGACTGCCAAAGATCACTCAGTCACTGCCAAGTCTGCTGCCTGTGCTGCCCGCGGGATGCTCCAGCCACCAGGAGATAACCGGCCACGAAGAGGATGCCCTTGGTGCGACCATTGTAAGAAAACTGGCCATGTCAAAGAAACCTGCTCGAAACGACATGGTAAACCAGCAGATTGGAAGCCGAACAGGGCCACATCTGACCGTGAGAGCCGAGTAAACGCTGCTTCCATGGAGGCAACAAAATCCCAGAGTCAAGTTCCCTTCACAAAGGCCCTCCATGTAGCTCAGCCACCATCTGCGCCTTGGATAGTAGACTCAGGCGCATCAGACCACATGACAGGTGATAGATCATTGTTCTCAACTCATACTCCGTGCCAGAAGTATCAAACAGTACGGATTGACAATCTTACCCTACACTCTGTGTTATTTGTACCCGAACTTGATTGTAACCTACTCTGTGTTAGCAAAATAAACCAGGATCTTCATTGTGAGACTATTTTTTTTGCCAAATCTTGTGTTTTTCAGGACTTGGGTTTGGGGAAGGTGATTGGCAATGCTGAACTGTGTGCAGGCTTGTATCTCCTCAGAGTAGACTCCTCTTCTGTCCCCTCTCAAAGCCACAATAAGGGTAGTGTCAAACCGCAGTGTTGGTCCATTAGAGTCATGAGTCAATAAATCGGTCCAATAAGACCGATGCCATAATGTTATGGCACTATCGTCTAGGTCATCCAAATTTCTTGTACTTGAAACATCTATTTCCATCATTATTCATTAATAAAGATGCCAAGTTATTTCAATGTGATGTTTGCCAATTCTCAAAGCACACTAGAAGTACATATATGCCACGACCATACACACTGAGTCATCCTTTTTCACTTATCCATGGTGACATATGGGGTCCAACCCGAATTCCTAATGTGTCTGGGGCTAGATGGTTTCTGTTGCTAGTTGATGACCACACCCGGTTGAGCTGGACTTTTCTCATGAAAGACAAAACTGAAACTAGCCAAATCTTCAAACACTTTCATGCCACGATACACACCCAATTTCAGGCCACCATCCAAGTGCTCAAAACTGATAATGCACGAGACTTCTTTAACTCAATTCTCAGCCCTTATCTCCAAACTTCGGGCATTGTCCACATAAGCTCATGCGTAGACACACCCCAACAAAATGGTGTGGCTGAACGCAAAAATCACCATATCCTTGAGGTTGGTCGCTCACTACTCTTCCAATCAAATGTGCCTAAGAAATTCTGGGGTGAGGCAGTCCTCACCGCCACATACCTTATCAATCGGATGCCCTCACGTGTTCTTAAATTCAAAACTCCAGTCAAAACCTTCCTTGCTGCCTATCCTAAGTCCTAACTCACATTTACTCTCCCAAATTCCTCTCAAAATATTCGGATGCACTACCTTTATCCACATCTACCCTCATATCCACCCTCATAGCCGAGGAAAACTTGATGAAAGAGCACTCAAATGCATCTTCCTCGGCTACTCACCAAACAAAAAAGGATATAAATGTTATTCCCCTCTTACCAAAAGATTCTTTCACACCATGGATCTCACCTTCTTCGAAAATAAACCATTCTATCCCAATTCCGTAATTCAGGGGGAGTCAACCACCGAACATGAATCTCAAAATTGGGATTGGACATCCCTCATTGATTCGGCCCCAAGTCCAAATTACTATAACCCGGTGGAAACTCCAACCAGCCAAATTCTAACAGATTCCAGCCAGCCTCTAACCAATCCGCATCCTCCAGCAGGTCCAGCCGGCCGTCAACTCCATATGCCACCTGCCCAGGTTCACATGAGTCTCTCAAAACTCCCAAATCATCCTCCCATGAGTCTGTCATACACCCAAAACACCTCCTTCTACCTGATGAGGAAGTAAGAGTCTACACTAGGAGACAACAATCTCAGCCGCCTGCCCAGAATAAGCAAAACCAGCAGCCAAATTCGAACTCAAGAAACCCAGAAACAAAACAGGATGAAGCTGAATAGAGTCTTGAGGCAGTGACAGGTGGGGATCCTGAGTTAGACTTACCAATTGCTCAGAGAAAAGGAGTCCGCTCATGTACTCAACATCCCATCCGCAACTACATGACCTACTCCAAACTGTCGCAGAGATTCAGGGCATGTGTGACTGCTCTAGACAATGTCATGATTCCTAGAACGGTCCATGATGCATTAAGGGTTCCCAAATGGAGAGATGCTACTCTAGAAGAACTCCATGCTCTAGAGAAGAATGGTATGTGGGTCACTAGGTCTTAACAACTCTACCACCTGGAAAGAAAACTGTGGGGTGCAAATGGATTTTTTCAGTAAAACAGAAAGCAGATGGAAGTATTGAACGATTCAATGTTCGTCTAGTAGCCAAGAGCTACCCCCAATCGTATGGAATTGACTACCAGGAAACATTCGCTCCCGTAGCCAAACTCAACACCGTGCGAGTCCTGTTGTCCATTGCTGGGAACCAAGATTAGCCCTTATTTCAACTAGACGTGAAAAATGCCTTCCTGAACGGAGACCTAGTAGAAGAAGTGTATATGGATATCCCACCTGGCTTCGAAACTGATCAAACACGAGGCAAAGTATGTAGACTACGCAAGTCACTATATGGGCTCAAGCAATCACCTCGGGCATGGTTCGACAGATTCACAAGGGTACTAAAACAGGATGGCTACCTACAATCCCAAGCCGATCATACTCTATTCTTCAAACATTTCACTGATGGTAAGATCACTATACTAATAGTATATGTTGATGATATAGTCCTCACTGGGAATTATGACGAAGAAATAAGGAGACTCAAGCTCCTATTGTCAAAAGAGTTTGAAATCAAGGATTTGGGACATCTAAGGTACTTCCTGGGAATGGAAGTAGTGAGATCAAAAGCCGGAATTGCAGTATCCCGGCGGAAGTATGTCTTGGATCTCTTAAAGGAAATCAGCATGATTGGATGTAAGCTGGTGGACACTCCTATGGACCCTAACACAAAGTTGATGCCTCGAACAGAAGAGATGGCTGTGGACAAAGAACAATATCGACGTCTAGTTGGGAAGCTAATTTATTTAACTCACACACGTCCTGATATTAGTTTTGCAGTCAGCTGTGTGAGTCAATTCTTAAGCAACCCATCGGTCTCCCACATGGAAGCTGTGTATCGCGTTCTTAGATACCTCAAGAGGGATCCTGGAAAGGGTCTAATGTTCAAGAAGACTCACAATCACTCTCTTGAAGTCTACATAGATGCGGATTGGGCTGGATCCCCTGGTGACCGAAAGTCAACTTCAGGGTGTTGCTCCTATGTGTGGGGAAATCTAGTGACATGGCGTAGCAAAAAGCAACAGGTGGTAGCACGCAGCAGTGCTGAGGCAAATAATGGTAATTTGCATAAGAACAATTACACAAACACGACAGAGTAATACTTAGTTCGTGAACCATGATGCACTGCTCGAGCTCTCACAAGTCGTGATAATCAATGATAGAGACCTATAATAATACTAGAATAAGAAATTAAGTATTTTAATTTTGTACAATAAAAGGGTTTAGGCCCTATAACTAATTAGAAGTGGGCTTGCCCATTAGAATTAGAATAAATAAGTGTGAGTGGTGAGTAGAGGTAAGGTAGAATTTTGGGGATCGGGATTGGGAATTTGGGAGTGTGAGACCACTCGAAGAGTTTCAACCTTTTCTTTTGTTTCTTTCTGTATTCCATCACTAAATCATCATTAATATACTACAATTATCTACTGTGATTCTTCCGTTACCTATCATTGGTATCAAAGCAAAACGATCACTGTAGCTGCATATGGTAGTCACTGGGTGAGTAGAGGGAAGGTAGAATTTTGGGGATCGGGATTGGGAATTTGGGAGTGTGAGACCACTCAAAGAGTCTCAACCTTTTCTTTTGTTTCTTTCTGTATTCCATCACTAAATCATCATTAATATACTACAATTATCTACTGTGATTCTTCCGTTACCTATCATTGGTATCAAAGCAAAATGATCACTGTAGCTGCATATGGTAGTCACTCGGTCAAACATGGAACAGAGGATTGAAAGTTTGGAGCGATCATTGGAGCATTCAAGGGAAAAGATGCGAACGGAGAATCAGAGATGTGAACAGAGATGCGAGCCTTGTTGGACGAGAAAGTGCAGGTGTTGCTGGAGAAGATGCAGAGTCTCGAAGTCCAGGGCAGTCGCAGGAGAAGACGGGGACGATCGACCACCAATCATCGACGCTAGAGTTCCGCTAGCGTGAGTTCGTCCGATTCCAGAGGTAACCCTCGTGAATCTCTATCTGTTTCTTGCACTCCTGATAATACGAGAATCAGCGATCAAATTTATACTGGGAGAAAAGTGGATTTACCATTGTTTAGCGGTGACGATGCTTATGGATGGCTGATCTGGGTTGAATGCTATTTTAAGCTAAACAAAGTATCGGAGACTGACAAGGTGGAGGTAGTCTTGATAGCCATGGCCGGTAAGGCTCTGAACTGGTAGCAATGATGGGATGAACAAACAGCTGACCATTCTTGGGTTAACTTCAAAGAGGCTTTGATCCGGCATTTCCAACCTGACTTAGTACAGAACCCGTTTAGTCCTATGCTCAGTATTAGGCAAACTGGTTCAGTAATGAAGTGCGGGGATCACTTTGAAATGGTTGTAGCTCCTCTCAAACTTGCTAATCAAGAGATGTTAAAAGGAGTATTTGTCAATGTGCTTAAAGATGAAATTAGCACAAAGCTGAAGTTGCACAAGACCAGTGGGTTAACTGAACTGATGGACAAGGTCTTGTTGTTGGAAGCGAAGAACAAGTTGTGGAAAGGAGAGAAAAATATTGAAGAAGACAAAAAGGGCGGGAAGGAACAGGGAGGGAAGAACACCTGCCGTGACTCCCGAGAGAACACATTCAAAGAACAAACTGGAGGAATCACCAAAACCAAGTAAGACTTGGGAGGGAGGCCAAAGATTGACACAAACAGAGCTAGAAGAAAGAAGTAAAAAGGGTATGTGTTTCAAATGTGGAGATAAATGGAGTAAAAAACATGTTTGTGGAATGAAACATTATCAATTCATCTTGATGGAAGGATCAGAAGAAGAGCAGGAACATGTAATCAGCAGCCTGAACGGGATGTAGCAGATAACCTGCTGAAACGATGAGTTTCTTACTACCCACCTTGAGGACAAGGTGGTAGTTCAAGGGGGGAGTGATGATAGAGACCTATATTAATACTAGAATAATAATACTATTAAGTATTTTAATTTTGTACAATAAAAGGGTTTAGGCCCTATAACTAACTAGAAGTGGGCTGGCCCATTAGAAATAGATTAATAAGTGTGAGTGGTGAGTAGATTGTCTACTGGGATTCCTCCATCAGAATTTTGGGGATCGGGATTGGGAATTTGGGAGTGTGAGACCACTCGAAGAGTCTCAACCTTTTCTTTTGTTTCTTTCTGCATTCCATCACTAAATCTTCATTAATATACTACGATTGTCTAGTGGGATTCCTCCATTACCTATCAATCAATCACGAATTAGAGTGTTACTGCAATCATTGCCAGGACATAATAATAAGGTATAGCCAAATCACAAGTGTTTTTTAGCTAAAATTATATCAATTTTAAGCTGGTTTTTTCATAGCAATATTTGGACAAAACACTATCAGATGTTATACTGTTAAGGATGTTTTTACTTGGACTGTAATTTGCTGGTCTGGTCTGAACTGGTCTGGTCTTGTCTGGTTTCTTTGTATTTTTATAACTATCCAAGTCTGGTCTGGTCTGGTCTGGTCTGGGACGAGTTACAGTCCAAGTAAAAACATCCTAAGGCAATAAGGCCATATCACATATTTTCCTTTGTTTTACGTATGTTTGTCTAGAGGTGTTATTGGCGCAGAGTTAGGTTCTCTTAAATTGGAACGTTAGAATATGCTACTTTCTCTTTGAAGAAGCACTCAAAAGGCTATTTAGTGTAACTCAGTGCAATGCTCTCCGTGATTTTGGAGGTATAGGCTAACAAGTACGGATTACTATACCATAATTGGAGAAATATTGGGAGACAAAAATAGAAAAGTATCAAACTACATCTGTATATCATGTAACGAAAAAGAATTGCACCTGCACTTGCTCCATACTGATAAAGCTGTCCGCATACGCAATATAATGCACCATGCGTAGGAATGGTGTGCTACCAATAAATATGACATACTCCGTACTTTATTTGGAAAGAAGAAAGTTAATAAAAAGAGCAGATGTTCAACATTCTCCCTGCACCCTCTCCACTTCCCAAATTTGAAATCAATTTTAGCTAACTTTTTTTTTGTTCTGGTTGATTTTTTTCTCATTTTCAGCTTGGTGAAGTTTTTGACCCCTGAATGTGGTCTACAAGGATACTGGGATCCATATCCAATTGATATGGAATTTCGACCGCCTTGTATGGTTTTATCTACTATTGGACTATCGAAGCCTGGCAAACTGGAGGGGAAGAATACTAAGCAGTGTGCTACACACCTTCACCAACTACATGTGTGCTTACCTTCATCAACGCAGAAGACAAGGTTATTATATAGGATGTCTCTGGATTTCGCCCCAATGCTCAAACACTTCCCCTTCATGCAATATTTGTGGAGGCACTTAGCTAAGCAGGTAATATTCTATTCATAAGTGAAAATTTACCCCTTGAAGCCGACACATTCAATGGTTCTGGCGGCACATTTTAAATTTACCAGCCAAGTTTTATTTCACATGCTCCATGGTGTATTAGTTTTATGTGCATAGCAGAATAGTTGGCGATTGACTATTCGATTTTGTTGTTGTTTTCATTACTTCTTTTTAATGGTCACATTCAATTAGAGCATGTGACGAGAGAGTTTGTTAAAGTGTTTGGCCCACATCATTTGAATATAAAATAATAAACCAACTTATTAGATTTTGGACCATTCCTCCTATGAGGTTCGCCTTTTAGGGATAAAAATTCATGTCTTAAAATGGTATCCTGTTAGTGGTTTGTTTCTTTGTCACCCAAAGTTAGTGGTATGCTGTTCAGACTTATTTATTCATATCCTTGACTTATTCAGTCCAGTTTGGGCTGAAGAGCGCAAGTATTTATCCCTTTATTACAGCTGTGGAAATCGAGTGTGATTGTGTAATATATTAATTTTCCCGTGATTAGTGGATAAAATGATTTCTTTCACATCTGAATCCCAACAGAATCTATTAGGGCTCAGTATGCAAAGTTTTAAGGTCATTTAATCCAATCCTTCTCTATTTCTAAGTTCCTACCTCCACAACAAGGGTTGGTAAAAAAGCTAGCTTTGATGAGACTTTCTCCAAGTAGTGATTGTGTGCTCTGCAGAGTATTTCCCCTACACATCCCTTCCATACCAAATGACTGGCAGGGAAGGTATATCCTGCTTTTTTTCACTTCAGCTGTTGGAAAATTTACAGGTCATGAATGAGGATTTGCGGCTTGTGATTGGGCAACAAGACCGCATGATCAATGGCGCTAACATCTGGAATATTCCGGTTCTGTATGATAAGCTGGGAGTAAGATATAGGGTTTGGCGGGCTGCGATAGAACGAGGAGCTGAAAAGTTACCTTTCAGTAAATGAGCGTTTCAACTTTCAACTACAACCAATAATGGCCTCCGGGTTACTTCTACTGAAGTGTTATTTCTGATATTCAACTCAAAGAGAAGGAGTTGCATATGTTTACCAACACACTTCAGGCCAATGTCCCCATTCCAATTAGTACAGTTTTGAGAGGAAGCAACGGATCACGCAGCTATTATTTGATGAGAAATCAACTGTCTGTACATGTCTGGTGTAAAAAGATGGTGTACATAAAAACATTTATCTATCAGTTTGATGGCTAAGCATTGATCTATCAGTTTGAGCAGAGTTGTTTGTTTGTTAGTACCACTTTGAACAAACAACGTTACACCTAACTTCCTCATTCTTTAGGCTCATTGGAGTCATTGCTGCCCGGATGGAATGGTAAATGTAAATTCTGTTTTATTTTCTCCCCAACATACTACATAGGGGTTGACTTAATGGAATGCCAAGCTCCTTTATTGGAATTTGGAGCGACTCTGTTAAACCCTGATCTCCCTTACTATTATTGTGTCTTTGCACACATTCTGTAGGTACTAATATAATTTATCAAAATCCCCCTTTTCTTGATTTTTTTTTGTATATACATGATGAGTGTAAGCAGAACTGTTCTGGAGTTGTATTACTCTGCAATGACAAATAAAATAGTTAAATAACACTCCGTAATAGAAATTGGGATAAGGAAAGTATATGATAAGGCGTACCTTCACCATGGTTTTAGAATGTATTATTACTATTTGATTTTTCATATATGTGTTATCATCAACCAACAGAATAGAAATCGAATACAAACCCTTCTTAATTTACAAACTACAAACTCATATTGACCATCCAATGAGTTAATCCAATGGCTCTAAAGTCTAAAGGCAAGGTAGCATTTTTGTAATAAAAGTCAATTTTTTTAGGATGCAACTCTTTGAATGTTAATATGCAACTGCTATTTTATGGCTAGCTAATATGCAACACTTTGAATCTCAATATGAGGTACAAATAACTTAAAGATGCATCGTACAAACGTTTTCACAATAAACACAGTTTGCACTTGATCCCACATTCCCACCCCTCACCCAACATATATAAAATATGTTGTGGATTCAGTGCTGGTATGCACAAGGTCGGAATTTACAAGTTTTGTGAACAAAACAAGCAACTTTTTCCAACACCTTTTCTATACATTACAATATTACATGGGAAAAAAATTCCTATTATTTTTTTGTCAATACATACTCGTTTTTACCTTCTAGTATTTAGATAACAGGTTACGTTTTGTGTCTTTGAACTCCCAAATCCGATCTTATATGACCTATGGTGACTGAAATCACCCTGGGCTTTTATATACCATTGATCACAAGGACTTCATACTTTGAACCAAATTGCAAACATGAAGGACAAAGCTCATAGCCTCATGAAGTTAGAAGTTTATAATATATACAATTGTAATGATTTTTAACACAACAATGTGACAAAATGCAAGCTTTGTGAGTTCCAAATTGCAAACATGAATGCTAGACAAGGGTGGACCGAGGTCGGTCTAGTCTTGATTCCGGGCCGAGACCGTCTGGTCCTAGCAATATTTTGATGACGCCGGGCCCGACCCACTATTTTTGGGTCTGGCCCCCGGGTACCCAGGCAGTTCGGTTCCGGTCATGGACCCATTATATTTTTTACCCGGTTTCGAGTTAAAAATAATTGACCGTTTCAGAATCGAAACCACCCAGCTCGGTCCAAAAATGGGAATCCGGGATCGAGTACCACTTTTATTCCCGGTCGAGTACCAGGGTTAAACAGTACCAAATCCAGTTCCAAACTAGCCCACCCCTATTGCTAGAGTTCATATGACCAAACAATCGTGATCTCTTATGATTAACATAATAACATGGCAACAAGAAACACCACATTTAGCATGGAGCACTTCACCTGACCAGTAATGGGCTTAGGGTTGGATTCGGTTCGGGCCACCCGGCCCGTGACCCGGCCCGGCCCGGCACTGTGCGGGCCCGGGACCGGGTATGGACCCGAACCGATGGGAAGGGGCGGGGCGGGCTCGGTTCAGGATTATTGTGACCGGGCCCGGCCGGGTCGGGCCCGGGCCCGGGCCTCTTTTTAAAATTTTTTTTTTTGGTTGGTTGGGCTACTATCCGTTGGGGGTGGGGACAACCCAAACGGCTATATAGCCGTTGGGTGGGGCAAAGGGGGGGTCCGGGGGGGGGGGGGTTGGCTGGTAGGGGGGGTGGGGGGTAAAAAAACCTATAAATACTCCTAATCTTAAACATTTTTTCATATCTCTTCTCCAATTCTTCCTAAATCCTATTCTTAACTCTCTACTCTCTAATTCTCTTATTCTCCAATATATTATATATCTACTCTCTAATTCTCTTCTCCAAGAAGTTAAGATGGAAAATCAAGATGCCATTATACGGTATAATTTTGATAAGCAGAAGGACCCGAAGACCGGGATGTGGTACGCAATTTGCAAATGGTGCGAAAAAAAATGTATCATGGGGGCTTCAGGCGGATTCGGGATGGCAATCAAGCATATGAAGTCATGTGACAAAGCCAAAGGATCGGGAGGTGCGGGAAGTTCCGATTGATTACAATTTTCAAAATGTTTATCTCTTAAAGTTTGTTTTAATTTTCAAATGTAGTTACTATTTCATTTCAAATAAATGCAATTGAAGTTTGTTTTTAATACTCGTATAAAACTATAAACTATAAAATATAAATTATAAAAAAAAAATTAACCGGCCCGGCCCGAATCGGACCTGACCCGTGACCCGGGCGGGTGGCCCGGCCCGAACCGGACCCGTCCAACCCTCGGGCCGGTCCCGGGCCCACTTATCTTGAACCGGCGGCCCGACCGGGCCTAGGCCTGGCCCGGACCCGACCCGGCCCGAATCCATCCCTAAATGGGCTTTCTGAAGCTAATGGGTTATTTATGCCAACAATTGGTGTTGATGTTACTATTTAGTTTCTTGAAAAAAACACCATTTCATAAATGCGTTTTTGCCTTCAAAAGTGATGCGGAGTATTTCACATGGTTTCATATTACGTGTATTTTTTAAATGACTTGAATGTTACTAATAAATGACTAATAGACTAAAAAGTGGCCTTTTTTAATTTTCAAAAATGTGACCAAATAAGTAAAAATCTTACTAATTTGCGCCAGTATTGCAGTGACCCACTACAGTGACATCTACCACCACATCTCAACCAGATGCCGTCGTCGATCTGACCGTTAACGGCCATAGTAACACCGACCACAGTGACGCCGCCGCCGCCAAGTGACACCACCCGCCGGAAATTACTCTGGTTGCCGCCACCTCCCAACTCCCCTCCCAAGCTCAGCCCCCTGCTATTCCGCCCTCAAAGCCCACTCCTGCTGTTCCGCTCTCAAAGCCCACCCATGCCCCTGACAATGTCCCTCTATCCCAGCCCCTAGCCCCATCCCCTCAAGCCATGTCGGAAATTGACAATCTGCTCTCACCCTAATCGTATGCTTTGTCGCAATCGCCATCCCTGTTCACGTTCAAAAGCACCGTGAAAATGCAATCGAGATCTGGATCTAAAGTGAAGACGTTGGAGCTCCAAATCTCTTCAGATCTGAATTAGCGTGGTAGAAGACATGGGTAGAAGAAGAGTTATGGAAGCAGCGGCAGCATGATTATCGTCACCAGCCGTGTCATCATCGTCTTAGCGGAAGCTTAGACGCCGCTGCTATTGGAGTCCAACGATCGTCACCACCAAAGTCTGTCCGCTATGTGGCTGCATGCAAAGAAGGCGGCGATGTAGTGTGGTGCGCGATGCGACAGTGCAGTGGTGGAGCGTGATGCGGTGGGGCGATGGTGGTGTGTGACGCGGTGGTGGTGCCGTGAAGATGCAAAACCATGAGATGCAAGAGGAGACAGCCCAAGAGTGAAGTGCATGACTTAGGGTGTTGATAAGGGAAATAAGAGCCTTCCGGACTTTTCAAATCATTTTTAATCAATTTTCTATCCGGCATTCCGGCCACAAACTAGTCATATTTTTGTCCTCTAAAAGTCTAGAAGTAATATTTAGGTCATTTTTCAAAAGAAAAAAACACAGTACTCGACTACTCGAAGTCTGTAAACTAGAAATGGCCAAATGGTTGTGTGAGTGTGTTCCACAATAAATGTCGATTGAACCACGAACTATCCGATTACTTTTGTGGTTTTTTGAATTTACAACTCTCTCTAATTAAAAATAATGAACAAGAAGATTGAGTATGTACTAGGAGTAAAACGATGAACAACAAGATTGAGTATGTACTAGGAGTTGCACATATATACACTGCGCAAACACTAGCTGCAAGGAGTAGTAATAGTAGTCATAGGCATCTTCTTGTTTCCACCCATTCTTCTTTTCTTCGGTTTATTAGAATGCATTTCGTTTTGAAAAGAGATCGGCAACAGAGCTTTCTGTGTTGGAAGTTCTGAAATGAAAAGAAGAGTTTGAGCCCAGCCTGCATATTTCCCATATTTATCCACGAAAGCCTCTGCCACCCGAGTGCACAGTTTAGGCGTCAAACTGGCGCCTGCTAGCTCAGGGATCAGGTACCTAGTTGCAATCTATCAATAATAAAAATAAATAAAAGCTAGTATAAGGAATTATTAAGTGGGATCAGCATGCATGAAATTATTATACATGCATTTACCGATACGAATTATACATGCATTTATCATTAACGCAGTTACATATTTCTCAATAAGCACTATAATAGCTTCTAGAGATAACGAGTTAGTAAGTTCTATCATCATTTTCATTTACCCCACTGCCTCAAAGAGACTGTTTCCGGATGACCCATAGTGAAAATCCCGTCCAAAATTGCATGGACTGACTGTTACTTCGTAACAAAGAAGCGTAGACAGTTTAGTGAGCCATTTTGCTTTATTCCATCATAATCTCAAGCCAAAAAATAATGAAACTTTGGCTCCATTGCAAATTATGGAAAACGAGTTAGTATGTTCTAAGTCATACAAATCAAGGTAGTAATTTATTTATTCAATGCTTTTCAAGGACAGTGTCTCAAAACAAAATAAAGAGATGGGTCTCTCAAATAGCAGAGGAGATTAAAGCCTCAGAAATTATTACCTGCCAGACATGAGTATCAACAGGAATGGCATGATGTTGATCCAATGCGAATAGAGCAACGCAAGCTGCCACCTTGGGACCGACACCAGGTAGAGTACAAAGACCATCAACAGCTTCATTAAGACCTCTCCCTCTAAGTGATGCAAGCCACTGATAACCTCCCTCTGGTTTTGAATGCAACTCCCTAACAGTACCTGTTATATATTTTGCCCTGAACAGTATCCACAGGACCACAAGTATGTTAGAAAAAACTAGCCACGAAAATATGGTAATGCACAGGGATATCACTGGCATGTGTTTAAATAAATTTAAGAGAGAAATGTTATCTTACACGTGTAACCTTCTTCTAAACGGAAAAAATTAGTGTCCACAAAAGTAAAACACAGTGTCTATGCTTTGAACACAAAAAAAATTACACTGGAACAAATATACGCTTTAAACTATATATCAGAGAACATATTACATCTTAACTACTAGTCTACTACGTATATAATACAGAACATATACCCCTCACATATTTTGACATGTGGGTATTTTTGTTCAAACATTATAAATTTTGTGTTTTAATTGTTCCAAAAGAAAGTTGACAGATACATTTGTTATCTAATAGATAGCTCAAGAGTATATTATACTTTGCCCTAAAGGAACAACTATGCATGTGTTATGATGCAGAGATGCAATTCAAAATCAGGGCAGACAAAACTCCCGCCTTTTTCTCATTTAGCCAATGTCATGAAGTGTGAAATGACTCTTAAAAGCATATGCAGAGAAGCATAGCAATACACTTCTGGCAAATGTAGTTTGTAACCAAAGGAGAACATCACTTCAAACATGAGTTCAGCATCATATGCATATTTACAAAGACACAAACCTAGAAAATCTGAAAATCACACACTTTCATTAAAAAATATTATACCTAAAACAATAACAGCTCTTCAGTCCAAAAGAACCACAACTAGATTCCATTGGAAAAACATTAGAAGATGGGATACCTGATTGTTAGTGACATGATATTAGGACTTGCAGTTTCATCGTTATAGATTAACCAAACAACAGGTAATCAGAGGTCTTATATAGTTACGTGTGAGCAAGTGCCTTTATATTTGACCGCTATGACTTACCCTCTTAAAATATGTGTGTTGTTTTAGTCCAAGTATAATTGATTGTTCATTTGAACTTAATTGACTCTTGTAGTTCAAAGGTTTATATGTAAGTTTGAATCTTTATATTTGTCAATGTGGCAGGGTTTAACACATGCACCCAATTGGGTATCCCATATTCATAAATAAAGGAACAAAACGAAGAAAAGTCATACTCCCTCCGTCCCAATTTGATTTGCAAAATTTCCTTTTTTGGTTGTCCCAAAATGATTTTCCACTTTCTATTTTATTTTAGGTACGTAAATAAGAATAAAGTAACAAATTTACCCTTACTTATAATTTTTCCCCATTAACTTAAAGGCATCGACTTTTAGAAGGATGGACAAAAGAGTAAAAAGCAATCATCATTTATTGTCATTTCTTAATCCTTGTGTCGGTCAAAATTTGCAATTCAATTCGGGACGGAGGGAGTATGTAAAGTAGAATAAAATGATCAAATATAGAGCCATTGTAAAGATAAACGGCTAACCTATAACCAAAACCAGCCTCCCGGAGCTCAGCTTCAGAAACCTGTGACAGCCGGTCCAAGGATGGGAATTCATAAAATTTAAGGCCTCCAACAGTCCCTAAATAATTCCCCAATGAAGAAATGAAATCAACCATTAATGTGATTCTCTTAATGTTGTTATTAGAAGAGCAGATAAACTGGATTAGGCACTCGAGTGGGTCCTGCCTGAGCACTCTCGCCCCTCCCAAATGACCGGCTAACTCAGTGAATCTCGGATCGGAGGCTTTAAAGATCTCCCAAACCTCACTCAGAGATATACCCGCGTTAAGAAAATCAAGCAGGGCAGCCATGGCAGCAGCAGCAGAATCATCGTCCATGGAGTGCCGGCGGTAACCGACATCCCCATCATCAAGCTGCTTCAGGGAGACCAGATGGGACCCGCCTACGACGCCAGTGAACTGGAGTGGACCCGTCTGCTTCCATCTGAAGGTCTGACCCGTGGGGAAGGTCAACGGAAGGTAGAGCTCAGTTCTGCCTAGGTTTAAGGGAACCCAATTCGGCTCTTGCTTAGTCGGGAGAGTGATGCTTGAGGGCTTCTTCTTGGAAGGAAAGAAAGATGAAATTTTTCCGGCAGGTGAATGGATAATGTGTGAGCTCGTCGGCGTATAAGGTGGTGTCTCGGGGAGACTCTGTCTGAATAATTTGCTTCTCTTCATGATGGAAGTCTGTGGCTGCGATATGAATATGATGGTTTTCCGCCAAACCAAAATATGTTTGGTTGAAGGGAGCCTGAAGAGGGACGGAGAGACATTCTAGGAGCCATCCCCAAACAGAGATTTATGATTTTATGGAAGTTATGCTTAGAATTATTTTGGGGAAAAATGGAATATAATAATTCCAACTATTGCCGGTGCGCTAACAATAATATAAACTATTAATTATTTTTATATAATCCCAACTATAAGGACCGTCCGCCAATAATGGTCCATGACCGCATATTACGTACTCTAACAAATGAATTTTTAATAGAAATTAAGCGTAAAAATTAAATTTTGGGATTATTTATAGGGATTACCTGATATATCTCTTTAGAAACTATAGGAATTAATTTATAGTCGATCACGTCGGACCATTATTGACGGAAGGTCCCTAAAGTAGGGATTATTCAGAAATAATCGATAGTTGGGATTATTATGAGCGAACCGCCAATAGTTGGGATTATTACAATCAATTTTTCCTTATTTTAATACAAATTAAAAATGATATAATGATTTAGACAATCATACCCATTTTTTAAATGGATATCCTAATTGTCACCTTAATTTCAATGTTTAATTTTAAGTTACCTCCAAAAATCTTGGATAATCTAGTTTCGGAGAATTCAAAATAGAAAGTATTGAATATTAGTTTCTCTTTATAAATAAGTTTCAAGAGGACTGATTTGGTCAGGCGCGCTTGACCAGAACCGTTGTTCGACCGAGCCTGTTTGAGAGTTTTCTCGGTGAATTTTTTTGATGATTTTTTTTGAGCATATTCTTCATCAAGTGTAATTTATACTCACAAACTTTAAGGTTAAAATTCAATCGGAAAGTCGGTTAAATAATTTATTGAAACATTGCGTTTTATATATAGGCATAAATGATAGGAAAATGATCAAATCATTCAAATTGGTATTCAACAATTATTTTTTATAAGTGGAAAAGGGAATTCAATGTGAAGTAAAAGGAAACATCATTCACTTGAATACAACCATTACAAGTTCTAATAGAGCACGAATTTAAGGCAAAGAGGTCATATAATGTTGGTACATGGTCTTAAGGGTGGATTTGACTTTACACCCCATTTTTAAGTTATATCAGATCTTACACCCATTTTTTGAATCACTAATGTGACACTCCGTTTAGTGTAAAATTATTTGACTTTTTATCCTCATTCCTTTACATTTTTTGGGTCGATGAGTGCAAATTAATGATTCTGAAAATGGAATGTAAAGTCAAATTTCACATAATTTTAATTGTACGTTGATGAAAGAATCTAATGAATAGGCACACTAGAATATTATCACCAAAAATCAAAATGGAGTATACAAAGTTGTTGCACAATTTTTTAGCCCCACCCTCTCCAACAGTCAAATGGAGGAGGCTCCGAGCCTCGGACGACTCTCTTCCTCATGTGCAATGGCTACCAAGGGAAAAAAACTAGTAGTTGGGGACTGGATTGGACGATTCGTATCCCCATTTTGGGCCATCCGAGACAGATAACACAACACCGCGCCTCCAAGTTCTGGTACCGGTTAAGAAACGGTTAATTACAGTTCAGTCCCGAGACCGGAATCATGGCAACTACTAACCTGTAATGTCCATCCTACTTGCGAAGATATCAGGGGTTGTTCATGCTGATACAAACAATTCTTCACTAAATAATACGGAGTATAAAACATTACATTTATCAATCTTTACTTGAAGTGAGTTGTCTGACCTTTAACCTCGATCACATAACATCAAATCACATTACTCAAGAAGGCTTCTATTGCACTAATGACACAGCACGACAGAATGACCGGAAGTATTATAGTTGCGAGAATGGAAGTCAACCCTATTGTTTACATTCGGCGATTAATTGTTTCCAATGTTAGATGTTTTAGTTGAGAATGAGGCAAATGAAACTAAAAGGCTCAGGATTTGATTGAAACATTTGCTTTTGTTGCTATGGTTTATTTGAACTTTGTAATTGATGTGAAGATTTAGTGGATCCCTTGCCTTATACTTCGTATATGATCTAGATTCTAACTTTAAGAAAGAGTGATCCAAATCCAGTGCTGCTTATAATTAGGGTTGGATTCGGTTCGGGCCACCCGGCCCGGCCCGGTACTGTGCGGGCCCAGGACCGGCCCGGTCGGGCGGTCCGGGACCGGCCCGGGACCGGGTATGGACCCGAACCGGTGGGAATGGGCGGGGTGGGCTCGGTGCTGGATTAATGTGACCCGGCCCGGCCGGGTCGGACCCGGGTCCGGTCTTAATTTAAAAAAAAATTGGGTCTTGGGCTCTTGGCTAGTGGGCTACTAGCCGTTGGGGGTGGGGCTGGGGACAACCCAAACGGCTATATAGCCGTTGGGTGGGGTAAAGGGGGGTCCGGGGGGGGTTGGGTGGTGGGGGGTGGGGGGTAAAAAAAACCTATAAGTACTCCTAATCTTAAACATTTTTTCATATCTCTTCTCCAATTCTTCCTAAATCCTATTCTTAACTAGGGATGGATTCGGGCCGGGTCGGGTCCGGGCCGGGCCTAGGCCCGGTCGGGCCGCCGGTTCAAGAAAAGTGGGCCCGGGACCGGCCCGAGGGTTGGACGGGTCCGGTTCGGGCCACCCGCCCGGGTCACGGGTCGGGTCCGGTTCGGGCCGGTTAATTTTTTTTATATAATTTATATTTTATAGTTTATAGTTTTATACGAATATTAAAAACAAACCTTCAATTGCATTTATTTGAAATGAAATAGGAACTACATTTGAAAATTAAAACAAACTTTAAGAGATAAACATTTTGAAAATTGTAATCAATCGGAACTTCCCGCACCTCCCGATCCTTTGGCTTTGTCACATGACTTCATATGCTTGATTGCCATCCCGAATCCGCCTGAAGCCCCCATGATACATTTTTTTTCGCACCATTTGCAAATTGCGTACCACATCCCGGTCTTCGGGTCCTTCTGCTTATCAAAATTATACCGTATAACGGCATTTTGATTTTCCATCTTAACTTCTTGGAGAAGAGAATTAGAGAGTAGATATATAATATATTGGAGAATAAGAGAATTAGAGAGTAGAGAGTTAAGAATAGGATTTAGGAAGAATTGGAGAAGAGATATGAAAAAATGTTTAAGATTAGGAGTATTTATAGGTTTTTTTACCCCCCCCCCCCACCAGCCAACCCCCCGGACCCCCCCTTTACCCCACCCAACGGCTATATAGCCGTTTGGGTTGTCTCCAGCCCCACTCCCAACGGCTAGTAGCCCAAGATTAATTTTTTTTTTTTTTTTAAATAGGACCGGACCCGGGGCCGGGTCACATTATTCCAGCACCGAGCCCGCCCCGCCCCTTCCCACCGGTTCGGGCCCATACCCGGTCCCGGACCGCCCAACCGGGCCGGTCCCGGGCCCGCACAGTACCGGGCCGGGCCGGGTCACGAGCCGGGTGGCCCGAACCGAATCCATCCCTATTCTTAACTCTCTACTCTCTAATTCTCTTATTCTCCAATATATTATATTTATTATTTATATATCTACTTTATAGTTTATACTTAAGAAGTTAAGATGGAAAATCAAGATGCCATTATACGGTATAATTTTGATAAGCAGAAGGACCCGAAGACCGGGATGTGGTACGCAATTTGCAAATGGTGCGAGAAAAAATGTAGCATGGGGGTTTCAGGCGGATACGGGATGGCAATCAAGCATATGAAGTCATGTGACAAAGCTAAAGGATCGGGAAGTGCGGGAAGTTCTGATTGATTACAATTTTCAAAATGTTTGTCTCTTAAAGTTTGTTTTAATTTTCAAATGTAGTTCCTATTTCATTTCAAATAAATGCACTTGAAGTTTGTTTTTAATACTCGTATAAAACTATAAACTATAAAATATAAATTATATAAAAAAAAAATTAACCGGCCCGGCCTGAACAGGACCCGACCCGTGACCCGGGCGGGTGGCCCGGCCCGAACCGGACCCGTCCAACCCTCGGGCCGGTCCCGGGCCCATGTCATACAAACCGGCGGCCCGACCGGGCCTAGGCCCGGCCCGAGTCCATCAATACTTATAATGCTCCAAACGCCAATCCAACCTGTCCTAGAAGGGCTTTTGATCCCTAACCAAATATTTTACATTCGTCCCGAAAAGAAAACGCAAAAAGAACATTTTCAAACACATTAGTCCCCAAAAAATCACTATTATTAGAAGCTAATTTTCATGTTATATGCCAATAAGTTAAACATACAAATACATTTTCAAAACAATGATGATTCTCTATTTTTGACATTTATATCTTTTATATCTTAACAAAAATAAAAAGATTTGCATTGGTCAAACATGACTTCGTTGTTTCTAAGGCCAAGAGTTTCAATTTAAATAAACATGGGCTTATGGGATTTTACAAGGCCAGCCGTTTCAGTTAAATAAAACATATATTACAGTTATATACCATTAACAGCCCCGCGTGCATGGCGTTTTCTTCATGCTCCAAGTAGGCTGTGTTGTCATCACTCACAACGATTCACAACTACTTACCTTTACCGACCCGACTCTATGAGCTAAAATGCTAAATCCTGATATGATTGTTGAAGTGCAGTAAAAAATTGACATTCGAGACAAGAGGGAACCCATTCAAAGGCTTCATTTATGTATCTTTAACCCGAGAGAAATAGCGAGTAATATCTGGACCTTTTCTAGCAGTTGTATTTGCTTGTTTGCGAGGCCTAAGCCAAGCACGCACTTCATCTTGAATTTCCTGTGGTAACTCATTCACAACTGCTGGGTCTATTTCATCTACATTGTAATCATTATAACTCCCACCACGCCTCAGATCATTTTGAGCAGTTTTTGCATCCACACTTCCGGTGCCTGCTTTAGGCAAAGGTTTGGAGCATGAAAGATGACAAGAAAAAAATGCATAAAAATGAGTAGGCAACGAGAAAAAATTATAGTTTGTTTTTCTATGGCAGTGTTGGAGGCGGGGAATACTTTCATGAATGTCGAGACTGAATATTACCCCGAGATGATGTTCCGCTTTCCTTGGAAGGGCTTCCAAGCCT